GTTGATGATGATGATGTTGATGATGATGATGGTGAGGAGGAGGAGGAGGATGGTGATGATGATGATGATGATGATGGGGATGAGGATGATGATGATGATGTTGATGATGATGTTGATGATGATGATGATGTTGATGGTGATGATGATGACGATGATGATGATGATGTTGATCATGATGATGATGATGGTGGTGATGATGATGTTAATGATGATGTTGATGTTGATGATGATGATGATGGTGAGGATGATGGTGATGATGTTTATGATGATGTTTATGATGACGTTGATGATCATGATCATGACAGTTGTATGTGTGGAGCAACGTCCGGGTTGGGCGGATCATGTGCACTTGGTATCACTTGGTCCCGCCTCGTCACGGATGGCCGTGGAACGGAGGTCGTTGTAGATTAACTTGAATAGGCAGTTGTAATCCCCGGTGCCTGCCAGCAATTTTCATTACCCTAGGATAATCTGCCCCATAGATATTCAAAAACAAACCATTTGTAGCCAAATTCTTGGGGAAAACCCTGTTGTTTCCACATCCATGTTAAGGTTTACCCTGGGGTAAGTCCCATCTGCCCATCTGTAATTTCTTAGGGGGGCATATCCTCAATAAGAACCTGGATCCGGATGATTTAGTGTAACATAATATAACTAATTATCGTAAATCGTACTGTCAAAGCGTCAATGAGGATGTAACCATCAACCATCTGGGATTTCATCTGATAAGAATTTGCGAAACTACAATGGTGAGAGAATGCCGGCCAAATGGGATTTACCATCCCAGACACAAACAAATTTATTATCATTGATTGTTTTAATGATATAGAATTATATATATATGCATGTGTATATATATATATATGTGTATATTATATAGACAATGACAAGCACATGTTTACATATTCATAATCACATATACATCTGCTGTATATATATATATATATCTCTGTGTGTGTGCGCGCTCATGCAGTGCCAATATACCAAGTAAACTCAAGTAAACTAACCATACATGAAGGTATTGGACCTCATTCCCATTTGCCATTGCCAGGTGCCCAAGGAATTCGGGTTTCTTTTTTAAACTGGCTATCAAAGTGGACATGAAAAAACATGATAAGCCCACCATTTGCAATATATGAAGGGGAGGCTTCATTTTGGTTCATTGAAAAGACGTATTTGTCCTCTGATATGAAATAGTGATCCAAAATGACCTTCCCCTTCACCTCGCTCAACCGGGCTGTCATCCCGCCAGGGAGCTGTCTAAGATGCTCTTGAGCTCAGTGAGTTCGGTATTTTTGCAGCTCAAAATCAAATCCTCAGTGCCATCCCATTGGCTTCCCCCGAAAACTTGCACCATCCATCCGTTCATCCGGTCTGAAAAAAGGACATTCCCGAAGTGGTATCGATCAATGCCTGCTCGATATATCTCGATATACTCCCAAGCGAAAATCGAAACATGGCAATCGTAGATGCCATCTAACGAGATGCCACAACACGTATGGCAACTCGCGGTTTTCACTCCTAAGGCAACTCGCGGATCTCCGCCGAGCCACACGCACGTATTCATTCCGCCGGCCGTTGACGCCATACTTTTGCATGCCCTAAGCAAGGCAGCGGCAAAAGACTTGGCCAGTGATAGGCCCATCCGGGTACAGTAGGATGTGTATGTGTACCAAGTAGCAACTGACTGAAATGTTGTTTTCCTGGGTCCTTAGTTGTGACATGTTGTGATATGTTGTGACCATGTAAGCATCAATATTGGGTATGTGAGCAATATATAAACATCGGGATTTGATTTGACGTGATTTAACTTAAGCAAAAACAAGGGAACAAACCGCCAACACCAGTCAGTGGTTGAGCCACCGCAGCCACCTCCCTGGATGTCAACGGATGTAGTGAGTGGAATACACACACACATATATATATTTATATCATTTGCAAGCACCATCACAACCCATTGGGGATCCCCCATTTTATTGCAAATCTACCAACCATTTCGTCACTTGGCACAGAAATTCGCCCAAGAAATGGACCAGCCTTCCCAGTCACCGAACAAATGCAGTGCAGTGGCGTTCAACAGCATGGCTTTGCTCCAAACGTCCAACAAGCCTGGACTCGTCATCGACTGGTGGCCAACTGATGGAATACGACGGTGAATCCTTTGAAACCCTTGGGTTTTAAGTCAAAGACACCTGGATTTGCTTGAGATTGCCCGGATAGATTCCCCAAATGGTGACTGAACAACTTTGAACATATATATATTATGTATACATATATAAATATATTATGTATACTTATATACATATGATGTACATATGGCTGTCCTTCTGCCATCCCGCCATGTACCATGCCTTTACCCAAAGCGCTTTCCACCAGTAGCTCGTGCACTTCGTAGCGCGTGGCCTCAACACATCGGTGGAATCCTGGTGGCCATTGGTGGCCAGCGAAAGGTTGGTATATGCTGCTAGCTATGGCCCATAGAAATAGATGGTTTATGATGATTTACCTATTAAAAATGGTGATTTTGCAAAATCTATATCTGGTTGGTTGATGATTAAAAATGATTAATAATCTATATCTGTTGATTAAACAAAGTGATTTTCCAAAATCTATATCTGGTTGGTGGTATACCTACCCCCTCTGAAAAATATGAGTTCGTCAATTGGGATGATGACATTCCCAATATATGAAAAAACAATCATGTTCCAAACCACCAACCAAAGAATATGTGACTTCCAAGGCATGGCATCCGATATGTGCATAAGCTCTCTCTCCCTCTCTGTATCAATATTGTAGAATCTGTGCATATGTATTATTTGATGTTTAGATACCTCTATCATACAATATACGTGCATGCATAATATGTATATATATGTGTGTGTGTGTGGAAATTGTGTATTGCCGGTATGTATAAAGAATCTATATATAAAGTACAGTATATCATTGAGTATGATCCGAGACATCAACTAAGCAACTAGGCACAGATGCTCCCACATGCTCAGCATGAGCCAAAATCCAACGCCCCAGTGCTGTTTGACACACCGGAAACGGCCTGACATTCCAGGATGCTTTACAATCAAAGACACAGCTACAAGCAGCAGCCCGACAGCCCCATGCACTCGTTCCAGCCTGAAAAATGGACTCCAGATTGACGCGCATGTAGATCTCGCGCATCTCGCTGTGATCGCCTTGGAAACATCCCGATTCATCCCGTTGAACTCGAAGAAATAGTGATTTTGACGAAAAGAAAAAGGATTGTGGCTCATGGCACATTAATGGGACGTACCATCTGGTAATTTGTTATACATATATATATATATGGAACATGAATAAGTTACAGTATCTAGTTCGACTATTTGCCATCTTTTCACGGTGATTGTCCACACCAAAGATGTTGGTTTACTGGAGGGCACCCCCAAATCCCCTTTGGAAAGCGCTGATCAACGACCACAAAGGTGGCAACCATTCCACGCAGGCCATGCCTTCTTTAAGACACATTGATTTCACCGACCTGGTCACAACCACACCATGACTTCCCTGTGGGCACCGCCGAACCCAACAACAGTTCAACAGTGTCTGGTGTGGCCATGACACACTGCTCCAGAACATAGGTTAGAAGTTCCTTCACCTGCCGTTCGCAGAATGGGTTGATGTTGCTTCGTTTGCAGCAACCATGTTTAGATAATTGATGATACCCTCTGGTAAACTAACATATCTATGGAAAACCACCATTTTTAATGGGAAAACTCACTATAAATGGCCATTTTCAATAGCTATGTTAAATTACAAGAGTGTAATTGTCTCAATAAGGCCATAGTATCCTCAATGTTTGGAGGATTTCCCAAGGTTTCGCCGCCAGTTTTCACCAAGGTTGAACCCCGTTTTCACTCAATGACATGGGGGCGCCTTGTTGAGCGTGTTGCGCCGGATGACGATGCGAGGCACTTCTTGGATGACCAAATAGGTCATCAAAAGGACCCAGGCGACCTATGGGCGAAAGCAAAGCATTGGAAGATACTAAAATCCATGGATATGAATGGCATCTACATCTATGACTATATCTATACAAATAATAAACATATACATATACATGTATATATATAAAGCAAGAGCGAGACATTAAGATATGATATATCATTATATATATATACATGCGCAGTAACATTTGTGGACAAACAATCCCGTGCCCATTTCAGTGATTTCTTTACGAAAACGAGAGACGACTTTGACTCTGGGGCACCCGGATGGGATGGAAGAGCACCCAGGCAACTTCGAAGTAATTCATCGCTGCCCTTAGTGGTCGTTCTCAGGAGGTACACCCCCTGAATGGGCCCCCTGAACATGTTTAAAATATCACACCCTAATTGGTCCTCTTCAATAAAAAAATCATCTGCCTCACCCCATCTTTTAGGTTCCATGTTAGATTTATATTGATTTGTGGGGTGTAGTTGAGTGGGTTAGGAAGTTATGGTGTATACCTATGACCCCGCGAAAGCGTTGGTGCTGGACATGTTGGACTTGAGGTTTGAAGTGCTGGAAAATGGTGCCTCAATAAATGTGACGTCTTGGATATAATGATCAAGCTATATGGATTTGTGAAAACAGCAGAATTTTTACCAGGAAATCCACATTTGTTTCATGGGAAAACCTGGGAAACACCATGTTTCGCAATATGTTTCTACAACTTTTATGTTGAAGCACCCGACAGGAAACAAAGGAACATCCGCTTTCCCAGCTTTGCCAAGTAGCATCTGGGTATAGAGCAGTGGAAGCAGCAGAATAGAGAAGACCTCGACTCTTGCTGCAGCCCATCCCCAAAGAAATATTAGTGGGTAGGGATCATCATATATCATCATACCAAGGAGGCCAATGTTGAAGTCTTGCAGTTGATGAAACTGGACATATCACGACTTTCGATTGGCGGCCCCGAATGCCTGCCGATGGAATAGGCCCACTTCGCGCTTGATGGAGAGCTTTGTCATGTACCTGGGTCGACGGGTTGGGTACCCTCCACTGTCATCAGCTCCATGGCTAGCCGGGAAATCCCCAAACTTAAACTCAACAGGCATTTGAATGGGAAAATATAGGAAATCATCTATGAATCGGAGATTTTCCATTGCCATGCTTGAGTACCAAAGGGCAAGCATCATTTTAACTGCAAGTAGTGGTCATTTGGAGGCCCAAAATGTGGCCACAAGTGATCTTCCTCGCTATGTTCAGTTCAGGGATGTCCATGGAAAATGTCTTTGGGGGAATTGTTTGGTGAAAATCACCAACAGTCTTCCATTGATAAGTTACACAGGAATCCCTTGAAATGTCTTTCCCTTGGGCAAATGGCAGAGTTTCTCACATCACCCACCCCTGATGATATCGACTCATGAAGGCTTCACCACCTAGGTAAACCCAACAATACACCATCCCTTAGCATACGTGCCCGCGCACGTGACGAGTGAACGTGTCAACGCACGTGCGTACGCTCACACGTCCGTCCACTCGTACTCACACGTCCGTCCACTCGTACTTCACGCGTCCGTCCACTCGTACGCTTACACGTACGCTGGGTCGTACGCACGTCCGTCACCACGTTCATTTGCACTCGTACCCCCTACGTTCACTTTTTGCCTATAGAGGCTTTAAAAACACCTTTTACGAGACTTTAAAAAAAGCTTAACCATCCCTATAAACAATAAAAGAGGGATTATTTTACATCATTACTGGGTGGTTTTAACCATCTTGAAAAATATTAGTCAAATATTATGGAAAATAAAAAATGTTCCAAACCACCAACCAGATTATAATGCCATATAAGTTATAAGTCATTCCAAGCGGGGGTCTATGCATAACCAGAAACCATATACACATATATATATATACACTGTATTGGGATTGGTTCATCGTAAACCGAGACTAAGTTTTCTACCTGTCCTCCTCCCCCAACACGACGCATCCGCGCCGAGCTACACTTCAAGTTGTTGCAAAACGCGCTGGGCCAATCTGACGATGCAAGCGCATGCCAAGTTTCCCAACCATACCGCGTATATATGTCACTTATCATCCCGGATAGGGGGGAAGAACTAACATATATTGACATATTGGATACTCTGGGTAAACTAACATAGCTATAGGAAAAATGACATATTCAATGGGTCAGCGAAGCAAATGGCCATTGTCAATAGCTGGTTGAAATTATCAGCGGGTGCCAACAAGACCAACGAGAAGGGTGAACCATCTGCTGGTGGCGCACTTGTCATCTGAGTGGGGCCGAGTCCGAGTGAAGGTGCGATTGTCGCCATGCGCGTAAAACCTCGGCAGGCTGTACGCGCCAAGAAGCGCACTGTGAGCTACTATATAGCTAGGGGAAACGAGCACATTCCTTTCAAAAAGTTGATTCATGATGATTCGGCCGTTCATTGGAAAGCTGGGATGAAGCAAACCCATCGCAAGTTCTTGCCAGTTCCCGAAAACAGCCACACAATGTTGCCGATTCCAAGGTTTCACACGGATGAACAGGTGAAAAATCGGCGCCACCGAGGAACGGCTTCATGTGCCTGGGATTTATGACGCTCACGTAGATCTTCCTGAGATCAGTTGGTCAGTTGGGGATGGCTCAAACTTGAAGCACATAGCAATGTGCAAATCGCACCCCCCAACACATCTAAGCACAAACCGTCATGTGAAATTTCAGGCCTTAATTGGAACAGATTGCCTTCCTGAAAATGGGGCGGTGTAGGTCCCAAGTCGAATAGTCTGGTTGCTGTGAGTCTCAGTGCTAATGTTAAGTTTGAAAAAACAATGAATTTACCCTCTGGTAAACTAACAGCACTATGGAAAATCACAATCTTCAATGGGTAAATCCACTATTCACTATAAATGGCAATTTTCAATAGCTATGTTTGTTTACCAGAGGGTAGATGCTCCAAATGCTTGGATACCACAAATGGCGAAATTTCACGTCGAACGCATAGCTCAATTCTTCGAATCCCGCAGTCCTCATCGGCCGTGATACTACACAGATATATGGAGATGATATGTCATCAAATTCCATGCATCAAACATATCCACCAAAATACGTGTCTTCTAGCCCTTTCCGGCCCTTACCCTCTGGTAATTTGTTACAGTTTGCTATTGAACATGGCCATTTAGATCCATTTAGTTCGTTGATTTAACTTTAACAATTCAAAAAAGGGTGGATTTTCCAGTTCGCTGTGTTAGTTCCCCATCGTTTTTTGGTATGATCAGAGGCATATCAGAAATGTCCCGAAGCCAAACAAAAATCCCGGGGCCCCAAGGGTCATCACGATCAGCACCGCCATAAAGCGCGCGACGTAGAACGCCACATGCGTCCGACCGTCCAAGTTCTTGTTCGGCACCACCAGGAAGGCCCTGGAGACCGGATAGAGACCGTCTGAGATCAAGAAAAATGTGCCAAACATGGCCAAAGTCCACTTCTTTTAATGAATATTATTATGATATTGATATTATATCATATATTATCATATTAGATCATATTATATCATATTATACCATATTATATCATATTATATCATATTATATCATTAACCTATGTCAACAAAGTATGGTTAACCTATAAAACTGATAGATATTATCACGATTTATAACGTATTACAACTACAGGAATGAACAGGAAAAGCGCGCAGGGGCTGCGGTTGCTAAGTCCAAGGTGCGTCAAGGCTCCTACGATGGGCAACCCCAAAATCATCCAAACTACCCTCTGGTAAACTAACATAGCTATTGGAAATCACAATTTTTAATGGGAAAATCCACTATAAATTGCCATTTTCAATAGCTATGTGGGTACTGATCATTTTCCATTGGGAAAACACATGGTCTCGGGGGCAGCTGAAGTTCAATTTAGAAAACACAGGTCCGAGGGGCACAGCGGTGGTGCTCAGGACAAAAATCAAATACCAAGCTTCCTGAGTGCCATTGAGTGCCATTGGGTTTTGACAGTTTTCTGTCGCTGCTTAGATTAGATGTGTGGGATTTTGTTCTGAAGTGGCTATGTTCATGTCCATGTGAAATAACCCAACAATATCCAACAATATCCAACAGTATCCAACAGTATATAGATATGTGGGAGATACAACAATTTCACATAAAAGGATAACTGGTTGGTGGTTTGAACCCCTCTGAAAAATATGAAAGTCAGTTGGGATTATTATTCCCAGCATATGGAAAATCATAAAATTCATGTTCCAAACCACCAACCAGATAAAGGGTCTTTTGACATTAACCACTTGCAATTTCTGGGAGACCCGAAGTAACTGCTGAAAGGTTCCACCACTCAATGTTCTAAAGCAGGAGATCGTCTCTCCACATCCAGGAAAAATTGGAGAGTTGGGTTCTATGGGTGTCTGAAAATGCGGTATATCCAGATGTTTAATAGGTCAATGGTCATTTCAGGAACCTAAAATGGAGGTACTGTACCATATAAGGCCATATGTTGCCGGTATATTCCCTTACATAGGCCTTATATATGGTACGTACCTCCAATTTAGGATCCTGAAATTTCCATTGAATAGGGAACATGATGAAATTCATCAGTCGATTTTTGGATACCGTATTCTCAGACAGTTCGATGGAGATTTCAGGACCCCCCAAAATATGGAGGCACTGTACCACATGAAGCCAGCGAGTTGGGGGCATATCTTCGCCTTACATAGCCCCCTATATAAGCCTTATATATGGTGGGTAGCTCCAATTTAGGTTTCTGAAATGGCCATTGATCAGTGTATCTAAACTGGCGGTTTGTATTGGATTTACCCCTTGGTAATCAAACATAGCCATGGAAAACCACCCATTTACTTCGATGATTTTCAATGGATTGATGGAAATGTTTCAATGGATTGATGGAAAAAACAGCAAATATAGGGGGGTTCCAGCAGATTTTCCCTTGAACCGATGCTAGGATAGCTAGTCTGATCTAAAAAACATGGGGTCCCACTTGAGGTGTGGGATAGATCCAAGATGTTTCTCCAAAAAGAAAGGGGTGGCTGCCAAGAAAAATTGCAAAGACATCCAAAAACATGATAGCGGACATGATTTGCATCATTTCCCAGCCCCCAAAGAGTTCGGCTATTCTTTTCCGCTTAGCCAGGTCATTTCTAGAGGGACACCGCAATGCTCCCACAGCACGTGCTGCTCAAAGACTGCCAGGCGAGTCCAATGACAGGGCCCTCCTTCAAACAAGAGATACAACACTGCAAAGCAGGCCGCCTGCAGATGGGAAGATTGCCCACCTGGTGGGTACCTAATGGGTACTTAATCAGGTACCTAATCCACGAATCAGGGAATATATTACTAATCATTACGACAAATAAACTAAGTAGCAGAAAATGGCGCAGGCAATTAATATGCATGCATACATGGGTAATACACAATCATCTTCAAACGACTGTTTTTCACAGCATCCAATTTCATATTCCACAGGTTCGATGGATTTCATCGTCTTGTGAAACCATCTCACCATTGGGAAAAAAAGGTGGCCGGGATAACTTGTAAACGTTTACATAGATGTGAAACAGCCACCATGAATGTAGATCATGTTCCGGAAACCATTGGTTTTTCACATCTATGCCCTGGGGTATCATTTATCTCATGGCAGTTTCAATCACCAGAAAGATCACTGAAAAAATCATGATCCCAATCCATGGAAAATATTTGTAGTTCAAAAAAACCAGCCCATGAAAAACATACCGTTCCCCATGCTAACCTTTAATTTACCCAAATCTTGGGAAACTCGTGGGGAATGATTCCTCAAAAAAAATATGGCCACAAAATTCACCAATCTCACACCTCAATGGATTGATTTACGGGAAATCTTCAGCCAAAAAACCTGGCTCCCCTCCAAATAATCCCTTTCACCCAAGAAAAGGCCCAAAATGAACAAATCCAATCCATTCCACCAGGCTTTCGCAAGGGGATATTAAGGGGGAAACCCTTATAGTTGATGGTAAGAACCCATGGTTTCCGGGTAAGATTTTCCCTTCGACCAATCCAATGACCTTCATATATCCATACACATATGTATTTATATATATATACCTATATATATATATACATATCTATATATATATATATATACATATATATATATATTCCATGTTTCATGGTTAACTCCCATTGTTCATGGTTAAATCATGTTAAATCCACTATATTAATTTGGCGGTTCCGTCAAAAAACATGTCCCAGGCGCGATGATCAAAAGCTTCAGGGACAGGCGCTCCAGGTTCTGCGAATTGGTGATTTCACCAACGAAAAAATGCCGAGATTTGAGCATCAAAAATCATCAAAACCATGGGTTTAAGGGATTGGTTGAAGGGAACATCTTACCCGGAAACCATGGTTTTTACATATCTTTACCATGAAATGTAGAGGTTTCTTGCAAATTGCCTCATCAAAACATACCCTACTGCTCCAAACACCTTCTGAGACTGTATTCGGAGTTTTTTGGGGTCTAAACGCCTTCTCAGAGGCTATTTGGAGCACTAGGGATATTCACAAAAATTCAGAAATGGTGATTTCACCAACATGCGGTGATTGAATTCAACACAAATTCTGAGTAACGCTAGCATTCAACAGTATAATGCCGGTAATTTGCTGGTGATTAAGCCACCCCGTTGTTGATTTCACACTAATATGGTATTAAAACCATCAACGCCTCGGATTGAGACTGGTTGGACCCTCTAGCGATCTCGCCTTTGTCTGGGGTTCACAGGCTTCTGCACGAACTCAATTTCTTTGAAGTTTCGAAGGTGGTTAGCAATGCTCAGTGACTACTACTTAGCTACTATCCTTGTTACAAGAGAAGCAAAACCAACAATCACCAGGATCCACCAGGATCCACCAGGATCCACCAGGATCCACCAGGATCCACCGGGGGTCCAGGTGCTCGAAATCGTCAGCGCAAGCGCCAGGTGCATAAAAGGTTTGACCAGGATGGGTACCTCTGAGTCGTTGTGTTGATCGCTGCTTCAAGATGCTGAAAAAGTAGCTCCGGCTGGAGAATAGCAAACAAAAGATACGAACATGCGTTTTCAAAGAAGTAAGCGTGATGATAATGTGATCATTCATGAAAAATGAAACAGATGGAATTACTACCTGCATTAAAAGAACTATATGAAATATTGAGAAGAGCAACTTAGGATTATTTGACCAAACAAGAACATTTCAGGCCACAATACTTAAAACTTAAAAGCTTGGACTATCACCGATTTGAGGCCTTTTCTCCCCTCCCACCTTTTGGTGCAAACGGTCTAGAGATTCCCCTCCGAATTTCATCACACTTCAAAAAACCTATATAACCCCAGGGTACCATTTAATATGCATGTGCAACAGATGTTCCTTTTTCAAAATTCAGAATGCACATTGCCATCTTCACTGATTAGAGGGTAGACTTAGCAAATTCTTGCCTCATGGGTGACAACCTGGCCCGAAGCTTTCACAAGGCGGCGTCTGGACCCCATACCGAGACGCTGTTTTGACAGCCAGCGATGTGCCAAAACCTCTGGGCTTAGCACAGGTGGCCCCATGATGTTGGAACATCATGGAAAATTCATGGTAAATTCATGGAACATTCATGGAAAGTTCATGGAAAATCATAGAAAATCATGGAAAATCAAGCTGCATGGTTTCCAAATGTTTCCAAAATTAGACACTCTCGAGTCACTTTCGTCCCAAACATCTCCGGAGCATGCAGCATGGGTGTAGCATTGGGATAAACAATGGCTCACCAAGTGGAAGCAACTTAAGAAACAAGCCACTATGGTATTGTACTGTAATCCCCTGCCGAGTTTACCGATGTTTACCGTGTGGATAGCTCAACTTTTAATGGATTTTCTATTGTGTACTGGGCGCAGCCAGGGCGCAACTCTTCCTTCCAAATGGGCCAGTGAACAAAGGGCATTTCCGTCCATGCCAGGCCAAGGAAAGCTGGGAGAATGCGTCGAGAAGATTCGCAGCTGGCACTTTATTTTTTTTTGAGAACTTTAATTGAAGTAGAAAAACACCGGGACAACGACAGAAACTGGGACCTCTCCAAAAGGTGTTCCAATCTTGAGGGATAATTCTTTTTTTTGAGCGGATCCATCTGGACAGAATCGAGTCACTGGCCATTTGATTTCGGCATTGGTTTGTCCAAAAATGATGGCCAGCAAAATGGCACAGAGCGGCTCCAAGTTTGACTGCCTTTTTTGGATCAACAATATCGTGCTTTCAAGCAGTTCGCTTTATTTAGGCCGGAGCAATGCCGAGGCTGGGAGTTCCCACACGTTGACTGTTGAAGCCAAGTTCTGGTTGATAAGGACTGGGTTTGTCAGATCAGCCATCACTGTTTCAATGCCTGCGTGTTGATGATCTATCATCTATATCAGCTGCATTTATTTAGTATAGTATAGTTTATTTATATATCTATCTGCCAATCCGTCTGTCTGTGCATCTATACATGATGGAGGTATGGTGTGGAAACCGGAGTGACCTTCGTGAACTGGCGATTTCAAGCTATGAGTCACATGGAAGCCCCTAGTGAACACCCAAAAAATGGCAAATGGATGTTCATCAAACCATAATATATATAATTATATATATATGTAATTTGCATATGCATATACATATATATATATGTATATATATGATATATATATATATAATGTATAATATGAATATATGTATGTATGTATCTTATATATGGTAGAATCTGGCAGAACAGGTGTTGATCCATCCCAATTCTCGGCAGGGCTACCCCCGTGCCATCTTTGATTTCCGGAGGCTAAATCTGGTGGATCCAATGTGTGAAATCCATCTCTTTGTGGATCAAATCAAGGCTGTTTAATTGGGGGGATACCCTTTACCCTCTGGTAAACTAACGTAGCTATAGAAAATCACCATTATTAATGGGTAAATCCACTATAAATGGTCATTTTCAATAGCTACGTTAAATTACCAGAGGGTATGTATCATATTGTGACTCCAAATGGAGGGTACCCCCACAATTAATAAACCATGGTTTTTTATGGTCTATTAATCCGGAGTTGACATTATATCAATTATTTGCCTAAATCTGTTTTGAAAAAAGAAACGAACCTGTCAACTGAGCTGAAAACCATGTTTTCAGGATCAAATCCAAAATCCATCTAATCAATATTAAAAATCCTCATGCCGTGCTGCTGACCCCTCAACTTCCATCTTTAGGCACCCCAACCCCAGCTGAGCCACCTCAACCTGCGGCAGGTTCAATTTGTTGGATTTTGTTGGAGGGTAACGCTTTGGTTTTGTCCATTCTCTTGACGTCTTTGTTGATGATTATAACATATTATAACTTTTCAATGGAAAATCGGATGAATATTATCGCTGATATCACCTTCACTGCCTTCATGGGCTAGGATCTCAAATCACCAAGCCATACCAGGTAAGCCTGGGTCAAAAACAGCCCCCCAAAAAAGTTACTTAGAGCTTTGGAAAAGGTGATGGTAGGTTCTCAAATGCTATCAGTGACTTTCTCTCTATCTCTTTCTCTCTCTCTCTCGCTGGGTGTAGCCGCCCATCCGACCGCCTATCAATCCTGGTGGAATAACTTGGGCTTTCTTAATGTACAAGCAACTGCAGACTTGGAGAGATACCGAATGATATCACACCTGCACATTGTGATGTTTCCTGAGCCTGTGCAAGAACCGTAAGCCGTAAGACCCACAATCCCCTGAGATGTAGACTTTCATCAAACCATCCTCCATGGGTGGAGTCCGCTCCGGAACTAGAGACGCCAATGCATGAGCCTTGCCCGGCAACCCAAAGCGCCTCTCTCTTTGATCCTCTGCAGGCAGGGGGAAGTTCCTTGAATCCAAGGGCCTGGAACACCTGTAGAGCCGAGGACTGCAGTGACTGGATCCCAAGGATCCCAGTGCCTGGCAGCACTTCCAGATACTTCCAGATACTTCCAGTGTTTCATCTCCCAACCCAGCTCCTTGCTCCGCACCATGGCAACAAAACCCGACCAGCAAAGTGAGTTAGGCGTGTTGGAAACATCTTTCGAGTTGAGGAAATAGATTCTGAGAGGCAACATTCCATCTCCATGTATCTCTCGTGATGTTGATTGCACATGGCCAGCTTCTGCTATCAGTGTCAATTGATACTCGAGTTGCTGGAATCTTCTCCCAACGAATCGCTTGAGATTTGGGAATGACGTGGCCAATCAGAACATGTCGCAGGGTGCAATTCAC